AGAAAGCGAAAGAAAGCGAAAGAAAGAAAGAGAAAGAAAGAGAAAGCGAAAGAAAAAGAAAGAAAAAGAAAGCGAAAGAAAGAAAGAAAAAAGAAAGAAAAGAGAAAGAAAAAAGAAAGAAAGAAAAGAGAAAGAAAAAAGAAAGAAGAAAGAGAAAGAAACAGAAAGAAAGCGAAAGAAATAAAGAGAAAGCGAAAGAAAGGAGAAAGAAAGCGAAAGAAAAAGAAAGAAAAAGAAAGCAAAAGAAAGAAAGCGAAAGAAAGAGAAAGCGAAAGAAAGCAAAAGAAAGCAAAAGAAAGAAAGAAAGCGAAAGAAAGAGAAAGAAAGCGAAAGAAAAAGAAAGAAAAAGAAAGCAAAAGAAAGAAAGCAAAAGAAAGAGAGAAAGAAAGAAAGAGAAAGCGAAAGAAAGAAAGAGAAAGAAAGCGAAAGAAAGAAAGAGAAAGAAAGTGAAAGAAAGCGAAAGAAAGAAAGAAAGAAAGTGAAAGAAAGAAAGTGAAAGAAAGAAAGCGAAAGAAAGAAAGTGAAAGAAAGAAAGTGAAAGAAAGAAAGTGAAAGAAAGAAAGTGAAAGAAAGAAAGTGAAAGAAAGAAAGCGAAAGAAAGAAAGAAAGCGAAAGAAAGAAAGAGAAAGAAAGTGAAAGAAAAAGAAAGCAAAAGAAAGAAAGCGAAAGAAAGAGAAAGCGAAAGAAAGAAAGAGAAAGAAAGCAAAAGAAAGAAAGAAAGCGAAAGAAAGAGAAAGAAAGCGAAAGAAAGCGAAAGAAAGTGAAAGAAAGAGAAAGAAAGCGAAAGAAAGCGAAAGAAAGTGAAAGAAAGAGAAAGAAAGCGAAAGAAAGAAAGAGAAAGAAAGCGAAAGAAAGAAAGAAAGCGAAAGAAAGAAAGAAAGAGAAAGAAAGAGAAAGAAAGAAAGAAAGAAAGAGAAAGAAAGCGAAAGAAAGAAAGAAAGCGAAAGAAAGAAAGAAAGAAAGAAAGAAAGCGAAAGAAAGAAAGAAAGCGAAAGCAAGCAAAAGAAAGAAAGAAAGAGAAAGCAAGCAAAAGAAAGCAAGAAAGCAAGCGAGTCCAACACAAACACATCCGTGTGCTAAGATCCGTGATGCATTGCTGGTGTCCAGTGTGTTTACGGACTGACCTCATCAGACAGCGACGGCCAGTCCTGGTGCGTGTCGGTGATGGACACAGCAGCGCTCAGACTCACGGAGGCATGCGGCCAGGGGAACTTCTTCATGTATCGCCGCAGGTCAGAGATGTAGCCGTCTAAAATCTGCACACACTCCTGCAGGTTCACGTCCAGCTCTACAGCGACAGGACCAAACATGAGGCCTGCTATCCCCAAACAAGAGCTCGATACACTAGGGCTGCCCCCTAACAGTCCACTAACCGTTAGCCGACCAGAAGAGGCTCGCTCGACCAAAATTGTATTAGTCGCAGAAAAAAATAAAAAATTGCACAGGCGAAGTGACGGACAGATCGTTAACAGCTGGTCTGTGGTAATATAGTACATCAGGCAGGACATCCTAACGCTCGCCTATCATTCATCTGAAATATGTAAGTATTAGCAACTTTATATGGCTGCTCAATCTAATGTTAACCAGAAATGTCCGCTATTCACGTGTTTGTGCGGAAACTGAACAGCAGCGCGCTGCAGGACAGATGGAGGCGCCAGTGCACTCACTTACTGTTAAAATAATCCCTCATTTTGGGTCATACAGATAAGAGTAATTCATCTATCGAATCTGTAAAGACTCTACGTTTATTTGTGTGCACTCACAATAACAACAAAATGTTGCGCTTTTGTAAAATAATGAAAGCAAAATGCGCTTTCTGCCGTCTCGGTCTCTGTGAACTTGAGCGAGAAACTCCGAAACTCCGTGTATGCTTGCCTAACAGATATGAAAAACATATCTATAGAGAGCGAAATGTGTGCAGTACTTTCAAATGGAAAACAAATATTCTCAGATTATGTAATCCGTGTGCAACACGCACACAGGTGCATCACTACTGCGGAGATGGCGAGTCGTGTCGTCGACTTGATCTCTTAAACCGAAAACAAAGAAAGCGCTAGTTTATCAGTGAATTATTAAAATGTTAATGCAGCTTCCTTACGGTTTTTCACTGACACATTCATAATCATTACTTCTGCCGTGCGCTTGAGTGCTTATTAGGCTATGTATGCAATTAAAGGGGTCATATGATGCGATTTCAGTTTTTCCTTTCTCTTTGAAGTGTTACAAGCTCTTGGTGCATAAAGAAGATCTGTAAAGTTGCAAAGACTAAAGTCTCAAACCCAAAGAGATATTCTTTATAAAAGTTAAGAGTCAACCCTGCCTACCTAAAACGGCTCGTTCTAACACAAACAGTCGACTAATGCTTCAAATGAACGACTACTAGTCGACCAGAAAAATCCTTCAGTCGAGGGCAGCCCTACTACACATTGAAAGCAGTGTTTGTGTGTTTTACCGTGTGTGCTGGTGAGGAGGACTTTGGTTTGCGTGTTGAGGAAGGTGAGCGTGATGCTCAGCAGCTGATCGCAGAACTGTTGGCTCTGAGCTTCAGTGTGTGTGTCGTGAATAGCAGAGCACAGCAGATCCAGAGCCGGACACAGAGCCTGCACATCTGAAAACACACAACAGACAGGAATCAATATGACTTTTTAAATGCTTTTGAAAGACGCCTCTTCTGCGCAATACAGCTGCGCATTACATTTTATTCAGATAAAAAAAACATCCATTTTAAACTGTAATAATATTTCACAATATTACAGTTTTTCTGCATTTTTAATCAAATACATGCAGCCATGGTGAGCAGAAGAGACTTCTTCCAAAAACATTTAAAAAAATAATTATTGCAAACTTTCATTGTTTGATTTTCTGCCATTTTCCATTGACTGCAATTGTTTTTATATTGAGTTTTACATTTACAGACTATCCTCAAACCAAACTATAGATCTGCCCCTAAATTATGACTTAAGTATCACTTAAGCCATTCTCTCTCTCTCTCTCTCTACATATACATTGTGTTTATATATATATACTTTATTTTTGGAATCTGATTACATAATCCAGATTACATGTAATCAGTTGAATAATTTATTGCTGTTGTGTGAATAATATGTAATCATGTAATCAATAAAAAAGTAGACAATGTAACTTAATGTAATTACAAGTACTTCATTTTTGGAATCTGATTACATAATACAGATTACATGTAATCAGTTACTACCCAGTTCTGTATATATATATATATATATGTGTGTGTGTGTGTGTGTGTGTGTGTATATACATATATATACACATACACACACACACATTGAAATTACAGCTAAACACACACTGTACAGTCATTCCCAGCATGTTCTCTAAATAATCCAATATGACCATATGAATAATAACCCAACACCCATCCAATATGAGCATAAAACTCCCTCTGACATCTAATTGATCTCTTTATCCTGAATCAGCTGGTTCGTTTCTCTCTTCATCTTCACCAATGATTAATACGACATCTCAATCATATTACTAGCAGCTGCCTCTATAACGGCCTCATTCCTCCTGAACACATGGCTGCGTAGATGAAATCATCTCCAGTTTTCTGATTAGTTTGCGCTGTTTACACATGAGCGTCATTCATCTGGCTCAGACTGTGTGTCTTCTGATGTGATGAAGAGCAGGAGGTCACAACAAACACTAATGAGATGAACGTCATCAAATCTGCCAAGAACGGCCCAAAATCAAAATAAGAAGAAGAAATTATTTGACTCAATTATTTGCATATTTGACTCAAATTCTTGTTACTATAATGCAAAAAACAATTCACACACAAATAAATACATACAGGTAAATTAATTATCATTGTGTGAATTTAATTTAATTTTTTATACAATTTTTACAAAAAAATTATAATTTTACAAAAATGCATATATTTTTTTTACAATTATAAATTTTTATACTTTTTTTTTTTTTTTTT